CAAGCTGGCTTGTGCAGGCCTTGCAGCATCTAGTCGGGCCTCAAATCCAGACAGACAAAGGGCTTGTGATACCGACTGCCTTGCTGCTGTCGTGCTTATGTATGGTCAGTTCTCTAAATTATGGCCCCTTTTTGGGTACCCTAAATATATAAGGGGGCCGGCCCTTATAAAAGCACCCCCAACAAGGACCATGTTTTTCATGTCGGGTGCAGCAGATGCGACCCCTAAACCCTAAACCCTAAACCATAAACCCTAAACCCTAGACGCTAAAATTTGACGTCGTTCTTGCCGGCTGGATCTCTTGCGGCTTGCCGTGGTTCTGCTGACAACCAGTTCTTGAAGCCTCGTTTCTTCTGGGCTTATCTGGACTTTACAGTTGAACCTTTTGTGCTTTGACCCAGTACCAACATATCAAGCGCATGGTGATGTATTTCCATGTACTATCGAATGTTATCGTATGCTACCATGCACTTTCGTAGACTATCGTATGTGACAAGAAAAAGTAAGTCCAACCTGTGCTTTCCCCAAGCTATCCTGCTCCTCGGGGCACACAGCATTGCCACCTACGGCGGCTCCATGAGCTTCGCTTAGTGTTTAGGGTTAACCCTGAACGCTAAACCCTAAACCCTAAACCCTAAACCCTAAACCATAAACCCTAAACCCTATGGGTTTAGGGGTGCTCAGTGCAAGGACGCATTTCTCAGGATTTGGCGTGGCAAGGGCGATGCACACCACCGTCATCAACCTGCACAGGCGTCATCCGAAACCGGTTTGCTTCGCAGCCGTGACCCTAAACCCTCAACCCTAAGCCCTGAACCCGAAACCCTGAACCCTAAACCTGAAACCCACGGGTCTGACCATGAAGATTGATGCAGCCTGCTGCGCACAGCCATGGCTCTCCCCAGGTAATGTACACAGGCGGTGGTGCTGTGAGCCAAGACTGCTATCTAAGCATATTTTCCCTGAATATGTCATGACACTATGATTCTACTACCCTATTAGAGTATTATGTTAATACATTATGTTGACTTTAGCATGAAACCATATTGTTACGATCTTGTGCTGTTGCACTATTACAACAATGTTATAACATTCTATCAATGCATTGTCCCAATCATATAATATGATATTATGATATCATCTTACTTGTATATTTGTGTAATATTAGTATGTACTTTGGTTCGTATACTATTCCATAAATCAAATACTATTCAAAAATATAATATTGCATTCTAGTCATGTACTACTAACAGACTATATTTCTATGTTACTATCGTAGTATATTATTATATCGATACATTATTAAAATGGTGTTGTTAGAATATCCTCGTATTCTTGTATGGGAAAACCATGTGTATATATATATACACACATATCGACGCTTACTACTATACCATTTTTTTATTGCATTATTGTATGAATTATACTGCTATTTTCTGCATTCTTGTATTTATGCATTGTGAAAATACGATGTTATTCCCTTCATATATTTCTGACATTATGAAATTCATAGAATATTCCTTAAAGATACTACTGCACCAGAATAGAATTGCACGATTATGCGATTCCACCATGATGCTATTAAGCGATTCTATGGTTTTTGATGAGAATTCTTGCATCTTGGATTGTTGCATCATTACATTATTGTATTTCTATGCTCACTATATTTTTAAAGAATTAAAGTGTTTGAATGCCAAATTATGTTAATTTAGTAAAGTGTTTTTGAATACTAGTGTATTACTATCTTATGAGACGATTAAATTAGTGTATTCTTGTATTTTGTACTACTGTACTACTATACTATATCTTATGAATTGTTGAAATTATATATATATATATATTGCTATACTTTTATACTGCTATATTATCATATTTTCATAAACTGACATCTTAATATATTATATTACTAGGTCATTATATTCTTACGTGGTTATATGTCTATATTTAGTATATTGCTACATGATTAGGTTACGAAATTCTTGTACTTTTATATGTTCAGATTACGATTGTATTTGTAGTATATCATCACAGTATCTGACTATATGACTACACTATTTACTACCAGGACTCCCAAAACTGAATGGGATGAAGACCCAGCCTTGACATCTCGCCAAGAATGCATGAAAACCCGTGTCCTAGCGGATACCAATGAACTGCTTCATCGCTGCATATCGTTTATCGAACTCGGATGCTGGTCTGAACGCTATCGGTTCAACTGCCCTTATCCGTTTATCAAGCGAAATTCACACTTTGTGCATCTTACAGGGCTTGTCCTTACTTTCAACATGGTGTTTTTTGATCATCCCTCATTTGGCATTTCGATTGCCGTGTGGGAATGGTCAGCTGCACCAAGCTCTTGAGATCTCGAGCCCTGTGCGCATTGAGTCGGCACCCTGCTGCTTGCCGCCACACCTACTCGTGCAGGTTAGCTGCAAGCAGAAGAACCCCGCTGCTGCAGCTGTCATGCATCGGTCGTTGGAATACGCCCTGTCATGTCGTCATTCATGCCTCCACGACCGTGCTGACAGATGCCGTCAGCTCTCAATGATGAGTGCACTGAGCAGTGCGAATAGTGCCCCTCCCCAGTCAGTGCAGCCAAGTGCAAACCTCACTAAGCTTCAACAGAACAATTTTGGCCTACCAAACTAAGAGCCAAGTGCTAGAATTGCCACAGTTACAATCTCCTTCGGAGTCGCAGCCCTGCAGTGTGTTGCTGAGATGCACCTCGATGCAGTGTGGGTAGGGAATGCCAGTGAACTTTGCAAGAGCGATCAGAACTCAAATGACAGCCTCGTGACTTGACTTCATACTTGTTCAGAGTTAGAAGTTGCATAGATGACATGGAGCTCCTGCAGTCCGCCGCAATGCGTTCTTGCATCGGCATTGGAGAGAGAACTGGCGTGAAACGTCTGAGTGCACCTCCATTAACCACAGCTTCGAAGCTGCTAAGCACGCTCGACTGCTGAACAGCGAAGCTGATGCACGAAGTCTGCATTGACTAGCTCAGCGAATCCCCTTGATGCTGGCACCTCCTTCGCGACATCTGGCCCGCTCTCACAAGTCAGGGCAATTGAGGGAAGGCCAGCAAGATTGAGGGTATCCCGGGCTATCCAAGCAGCTCCTCCTGCGAGCTCTGCCATGGATTTGACCTGTGGGACCCGAATTGCCGTCAACAGTCTTGCACCGCTTTCATGCTCCCCTGCGCAGCTCATGCTGAGTGCTGCCACTTTGTCGGCCATCGATGGTCTAAGGCTATTCGAGCCATGCCAGCCATTTTGCCTGGTATCAGTGAATGCTGCAACGCCACGCACGTAACAACGCAACATGCTGCTGGCACCGCTAGCACTGACATCGGCTGCAGTCTTAGGACGCGGCTCACGGGCAGCATCCGTCACCTGCACAGGTCATGGCGTGCAGATATGTGCAGCCTGTGGACCACTACCACTACATGCCACGAAGACGAGCATTCTGAGGGTGTTTTTAAAATCTTTAGGATGGAAATTCCCAGGCTGCGGAACGATGCTTAAACGTGTTCGGCCTCGAGAGTTTGGGCTTGAGGCGAAGGGCTTGTCACTTCTGACACGGATTCGAGAACGCCCTGATTTTTCCTGCTCTTCAACAGATTTACAAAGTTTGAACCTTGCTTGGTACTCTTGTATAGTATATTATAATATGGACTGGCGCGATAACGACTCACCTGCATGTTCAGGAGGTGTTCCAGTCTCACGTATGGGAAGCAGGAAGCTACGAGAACTCGAGCATGTTCCATCGCGGCGGCGCCTTTCCAACCAACGGACTTTGACTTTTGGCACGCCGTGGGGTCTGGCAATGGAGGTGCAACGAGCATGACAAGGACTCCAGCAAACAGCGGCGCACTGCACGGACAATGGCATCATGCATAAGCGGCAAGCACGCTGTACCTATATGATATGCATGGCAACCTATGACCTATGTCTTCCTAGGTACGCATGCCACATGCATTTACAACAACTGCTTTGGCCTGGAGGATTGGCTGACCATGGGTAAAGTCATGAGCATCGCATGCCAAGCGAGTCCTGCAAGGGCTTGCGGTCAGCGCCACCGACCTTTCCGCACACCTGAGAATAGAAGCACTGGACTACTGCCTTTGGAACATGCTTTCTCTGACATGGGTTGTGCTTCTGATTTGCTTCACACGGTTCACAAGTGCGCACTTGCAGAGGAACGAGTACATCTTCACACACATAAGACCATGCACTAAACGTTCGACAGTCTGAAGCTTAAACGCTTCATCATTGTACATTTGTAATATGCAAGGAATCAGGGAAGTCATATGGTGAACAAAGTTTGCTGTATGGGTCTGTAAAAATATTCATATGTATCTACACTGTATACAAATACGTGTACGCCCGTGATTATATGTGCTGTGGATCATCCACATACTACAGTGTACATATCTACAAGCATACATGTCAACACGAATTTTGTTTCCAGCATACATGGAGGGCACCCAAAAAGGGACAGTCACTTTGAGAACTGACCATATAGGCAACAACATTCGTCCAAATAAAACCAACACACGACTGTCCAGATGCCCCAACTCTGAGGAAACGGCCCTGCGTTCATTGTCGCGGCTGCGAAGTGACTGACAACGAGAAACATTGATCGCACTTGGTCTGTCAAAAGCCCGCACACACACATATGTTTGCAGCATACATCCCAAAATTGTCACATGTGCTGCATGCAAAACGTTGTTTCTTCCATCTCCAACTCCGGCGACTCTGCGCCGTGGTGGTGCACTCTGTACTGTGAAACTGAGGCAGCCGGTCTTCACTCAGGCCCCTCGTGTGCCCTGTACACTGTAAAAGCAGAGCACTAAACTGTCTTGCGCTGTATTGCGCATGATCTACAAATCAAGTGGAGACAGCCAGGTTTCGGTGCTGATGCCCCTCAAGTTTCACGTCCAGGCTGTTCCAGAATTGGTCCCAAGGCAGGTCGTCTGTATGTAGGGCACATGCCTCTCAGGCGTAGAGCTTCTGAATCTCCTCCCTCAGGGGCATGAGGCACTAACGCTTCCTTACCACGATCCCGAGTGTTTGTTTTCTCCCATATTTTCAAGCTCTCAAGTGCCCCTCCATTCCCTCATATACAGGCGCTGACGAATTCGAATGCATTTTTGTCAAACCCGGCTTGTGCTTCTCCGCGATAAGTGGTCTCTTCAGTTTCATGGCAGCCGTCAGCATGTCATTCTCGGGAGTCCAAAGATCAGAGATGAGGGCAATCCTTCCATTTGCAAGCATCTTAGACTGCAGCAGGAGTGCATGTAATATATAGCATAAATTATGCAAAATGTAAGATGTATAAGAAAAATAGGTATACATGTGTATATATATATATATGTGTGTGTGTGTGCATAGAGTATGTAAAGTATATATATATATATGTATATATATATGTATGTATGTATATATATATATATATACATGTATGTGTGCTTTATATATCATATACGGACAATAACAATGGCAATAACAATAATTAACATAAGAATAGCAATGAGAATAATAACAATAATAATACTAATAATAATAATAAGATGTATGTGTACAAAAAAAACTCTAATACATATATATATATATAGAATATCTATATGTATATCTTCTATTTATTTACTTATTTGTTTGATTGTTTATTTAATATTTATATGATTTTATGAACAAGGAGAGTCTCTTCTGTGGCGTCTCGAAGTCCAGCAGCTTTAACTCTTTGCATTTTGCTTTGCAGGCAGCAAACACCTTGCCAGAGAAAGCGGCACAGACATGCCAGACATGTCGGAGGATCCACAGCAGCTTTGTTACGCTTTGCAAGCCGTGCCTTGCCCACGACTTGCTCCTTGGCCGGCGCCGCAGAACAATGTGCTTAGATCCGGTAAACCGCCGAAGTTCGACCCGGTGTCCGTGCCAACCCTAAACCCTAGATGCTGAGCAGAGGAGCATTCTGGCATTTCTCCTCAAAGCTTCCGGACACTCCCAGCTCGCTTGCCAAGCGCTCGATCGCCGGCTTCTGGGGGCAAAGCCTTGCGACTGGTGTTAGGGCTTAGGGCTTCAGATGGTTTGGCTAGGGTTCGACATAGGAGTTTCCCCCCCAAAAAACCCTAAACCCCATAAGACCCCAAAAACAGGCGGCTGGAGACAAGAAGAGCTCATTTCACACCACGCTTCCCCGGGGGGTTAGGGCTTAGGGTTTAGAGTCAAGCCGAGAAATTCTTAACATTGGGATGTTCCCTCTTATCCGCCGACCCCAGCCGGGGGCAGCGTCAGTGAAGACCCACTGCTTTTTATACTACCTTCCAGACCTCCATGCTGGCCCCCATCCATGGCTATCTCACCACCCCCCCCCAACCCCGCTACCCCCCCCCGCCCCGCCCCATGGCCCCATGGTCCCCTGGCCCTATGCCTCTAGACCCGATCAAATGACTTTATCAGATGACTTTAAAGGGACCCATGGCTCCTGGCCCCATAAAGGGCCCCAGTGCATGCCTGCCCTGCGCTTGTTCCGCCCTTCCCACCCGCTCCGCCCGCCCCTCATGGCCCCATCCCTTCATCCCCTATGGCCCCTATGGCCCCCATGGATCCATGGCTCCTGGCCCCATGGCCAGCAATGGCTCCACCTCAAGGGCCCCAGTGCACGCCCATCCTTGGCCCCATGGCCCCAGCCCCATGGCCCCATGGTCCCCTCTGCCTCTAGACCCGATCAAATGACTTTAAAGGGCCCCAGCGCGTGCCCTCTGCCCGCTCTGCTTGCTCCGCCCTTCCCCCGCACCCATGCCTCCATGGCCCCATGGCTCCTGGCGCCATGGCCCCCAATGTCATGCCCCATGGACCCATGCCTCCATGGCCCCATGGCTCCTGGCGCTATGGCCCCAATGTCTCCCTGCTTCGACGACCAACCCCCTACTTTGTGCCTCCTGGCCCCATGGTCCCCTGGCCCCAATCAAATGGCTTTAAAGCCCGCTCCCCCCACTCCGCTCGCTCCTCTTCCCCCGCTCCACCCGCCCTCTATGGCCCTCGACCCCCAGGGCCCCCATGGACCCATGCCTCCATGGCTCCTGGCGCCATGGCCCAATGTCTCCATGCCTCGACGGCCAGCCCCCTCCTTTGTGGCCTGGCCCCATGGTCCCTGGCCCTATGCCTCCAGACCCAATCAAATGACTTTAAAGGGCCCCAGTGCATGCCCGCCCGCTCCGCCCGCTCCGCTTGCTCCGCCCTTCCCCCGCTCCACCCGCTTTCCATGGGCCTCGACCCCCATGGCCCCCATGAACCCATGCCTCCATGGCCCCATGACTCCTGGCGCCATGGTTCCCAATGTCTCCATGCTTCGACCTGGCCCCATGGCCCCATGGTCCTCAGACCCAATCAAATGACTCTAAAGGGTGGGCCCAATGTCTACGGCCAACCCCCTACTTGGCCCCATTGCCCCATAGTGCCCGCCCGCTCTGCTCCGCCCTCCATGGCCCTCGACCCCCGTGGCCCCCATGAACCCATGCCTCCATGGCTCCTGGCCCCCTACTTTGTGGCTCCTGGGCCCATGGTCCCCAGGCCCTATGCCTCGAGACCCAATCAAATGACTTTAAAGGGCCCCAGTGCATGCCCGCCCGCTCCGCCCGCTCCGCTTGCTCCGCCCTTCCTCCGCTCCACCCTCCATGGCCCTCGACCCGCATGGTGTCTCCATGCTTCGACGGCCAACCCCCACTTTGTGGCTCCTGGCCCCATGGCCCCATGGTCCCCTGGCCCTATGCCTCCAGACCCAATCAAATGACTTTAAAGGTGGTCCCCTGGCCCAATGCCTCCAGACACAATCAAATGACTTTAAAGGGTTGCAGTGCATGCCCGCCCACTCCGCCCGCTCCGCTTGCTCGCCCGCTCCACCCGCCCTCCATGGCCCTCGACCCCCATGGCCCCCATGGTCTGTAGACCCAATCAAATGACTTTAAAGGGCCCCAGTGCATGCCCCGCTCCGCCCTTCCCCGCTCCACCCCCATGGCCCCCATGAACCCATGCCATGGCCCCATGGCTCCTGGCGCCACGGCCCCCAATGTCTCCATGCTTCAACGGCCAACCCCAATCAAATGACTTTAAAGGGCCCCAGTGCACCGCCCACTCTGCTTGCTCCACCCTTTTGCCATGGCCCCATGGCTCCTGGCGCCATGGCCCCCAATGTCTCCATGCTTCGACGGCCAACCCCCTGCTCCTGGCCCCATGGCCCCATGGTCCCCTGGCCCTATGCCTCTAGACCCAATCAAATGACTTTAAAGGGCCGCCCGCTCCGCCCCGCTTGCTCCGCCCTTCCCCCGCTCCACCTGAACCCATGCCTCCATGGCCCCATGGCTCCTGGCGCCATGGCCCCCAATGTCTCCATGCTTCGACGGCCAACCCCCTACTTTTGGCCCCATCACCCCATGGTCCCGTTGCCCTATGCCTCTAGACCCAATCAAATGACTTTAAAGGGCCCCAGTGCATGCCCGCCCGCTCCGCCCGCTCCGCTTGCTCCGCCCTTCCCCCGCTCCACCCGCCCTCCATGGCCGTCGACTCCCATGGGCCCCCATGAACCCATGCCTTGGGGTCTTGGTGTCCTGGCTCCGCTTGCTCCGACTCCACCCCATGAACCCATGCCTCCATGGCCCCATGGCTCCTGGCGGTATGGCCCCCAATGTCTCCATGCTTGGAGGGCCAACCCCCACTTGCCCCATGGCCCATGGCCCTCGACCCCCATGAACCCATGCCTCCATGGCCATGGCTCCTGGCGCCATGGCCCCAATGTCTCGATCCATGCTTCGATGGCCAACCCCCTACTTTGTGGCTCCTGGCCCGTGGCCCCATGGTCCTGCCCGCTCCGCTTGCTCCGCCCTTCCCCCGCTCCACCCGCCCTCCATGGCCCTCGACCCCCATGGCCCCATGGCTCCTGGCCAATGTCTGCATGCTTGAACGGCCAAGCACAATCAAATGACTTTAAAGGGCCCCAGTGCATGCCCACCCGCTCCGCCCGCTCCGCTTGCTCCGATGGCCCATGGCTCCTGGCGCCATGGCCCCCAATGTCTCCATGCTTCGACGGCCAACCCCCTACTTTGTGGCTCCTGGCCCCATGGCCCCATGGTCCCTTGGCCCTATGCCTGTAGACCCAATCAAATGACTTTAAAGGGCCCCAGTGCATGCCCGCCCGCTCCGCCCGCTCCGCTTGCTCCGCCCTTCCCCCACTCCATCCGCCCTCCATGGCCCTCGACCCCCATGACCCCACCCCATGAACCCATGCCTCCATGGCCCCCAATGTCTCCATGCTTCGACGGCCAACCCCCCCCCATGGCTTTTGGCGCCATGGCCCCCAATGTCTCCACTTCAACTTTGTGGCTCCTGGCCCCATGGCCCCATGGTCCCCTGGCCCTATGCCTCTAGACCCAATCAAATGACTTTAAAGGGCCCCAGCGCATGCCCGCCCGCTCCGCCCGCTCCGCTTTTCCCCCGCTCCACCCGCCCTCCATGGCGCATGGCCCCCATTAACCCATGCCTCCATGGCCCCATGGCTCCTGGCGCCATGGCCCCCAATGTCTCCACTTCGACGGAACCCCCTACTTTGTGGCTCCTGGCCCATGGCCCCATGGTCCCCTGGCCCTATGCCTCTAGACCCAATCAAATGACTTTAAAGGCCTAGGTGGATGCCCGCCCGCTCCGCCCGCTCCGCTTGCTCGGCCCTTCCCCCGCTCCACCCGCCCTCCATGGCCCTCGACCCCCATGGCCCCCATGAACCCATGCCTCCATGGCTCCTGGCGCCATGGTCCCCAATGTCTCCATGCTTCGACCGCCAACCCCCTACTTTGTGGCTCCTGGCCCCATGGCCCCCCTGACCCTATGCCTCTAGACCCGCTCCACTTGCTCTGCCCTTCCCCCGCTCCACCCGCCCTCCATGGCCCTCGACCCCCATGGCCCCCATGAACCCATGCCTCCATGGCCCCATGGCTCCTGGCGCCATGGCCCCCAATGTCTCCTACTTTGTGGCTCCTGGCCCCATGGCCCCATGGTTGTTTGGCCCTATGGCCCGCTCCGCCCGCTCCGCTTGCTCCGCCCTTCCCCCGCTCCACCCGCCCTCCCCGCCCGCTCCGCCCGCCCTCCCCATGGCCCCATCCCTTCGACCTCCATGGCCCCCATGGACCGATGGCTCCTATGAGCTTAGGGTTTAGGGTTTTCTTGGACGTTTAGGGTTTAGGGTTTCAGGGTGTAAGGGTTGTAAGTTTAGGTTTCGGGGTTCCGGGTTTCGGCATTGAGGTTGTAGGGTTTTTTGGGTTTAGGGCCTTCAGCGTGCCATCAGCAAGACTCTCTTAGATCTGGGGTCGGCGGCACTGGCGGTAGCCATTAAATAAGAAGAAGGAATGTATATACTCACAGCCCTTAATAGGGATTATAAGAGGAGGTACTACATTCCTACTAAGGACTGTGAGTATATACATTCGCTAGTAGTATAAGGGGAAACATCCCAACACCTATCACTGCGACATGGCGCAATCCGATTGTGTAGTTGCCGCCTGTCTTGCCATAGCACATCCTTAGATGGGCAGTGCTCTAAATTGGTTCTTCCTTTTTGGGATCCCCTATATAGTACGGCACCCTTAAAGAGAAGGACCCCCAAAAAGGGACCCCATAACGTAGAGAACTACCCAGCTGGCAGAAGCAAGTTTAGAGAACTCGATGACCGAGCTCACCCACCGACTAATGAGCGAGTAGAAGCCGCGAAGGCCACTGCAAAAAGATGCGTCTTCTACTTCTGTAGCCTGTTATGGTTCCGTTACTTTTGCATCATATGGCATGTCTGACAACACAGTAGCGGAAACAGCCACAGCAGAAGTCGGCTTTCAGCGCAGGCTCGGCATGTCGACGTATTCGCATAGCTTCAACACCTGAGATTCGAGCCACGTCTCCAAACTCGAAACGTGTGTAGGGTTTAGGGGTCAGGGCACAGGGATTGAGATGTTTCCCCTGATACTAACAGTCCTTAATAGGGATTATAATATCGGGGGCACTATAACCCCTAATGCCGGGACAAGATGTCAAAAAGCAGTCGTCGATCCGAGGCACGGCCTCCACCTTCGTCAGAGCGACGTACTCACCATTCGGACCTTTCCACAGATCCTGCATGGAAGCTGCTATTGAGCTACCTGAAGGTTCATGGGTACTGAGAAGTAGGGTTATAAGTGCCCTATATAAGGTGATGACTATACTTACCCTACTCATCACCCCATTTACACGCTCCCGTGAACTTCAAAGTATACAATGTGTCTTACATGCCTCACTCGCGATATGAGACTCGGCCTTCTTTCGATCGATGATTTGCAGGGTGTTGTCCGGCTTGATTTGGCCAACATCCCCTGTTCTGAAGAAGCGAACGCCATCGATCTCCACCCAATCATCCTGGCAAAGGCAAGTTCTGTTTTTTTTTTTGGGGGGGGACTCGCGCTTTTTGATGCCCATGGCTCCTTGTTCTTCTTCACAAGCTCTTCATTGGGCGTTGCCTCGCTAATAAAATAGCCCTGGCTGATGGCGGGTCCACCTCCACAGCGCAGCTTACTGCTTACTTTGAAATCGGCAAGCCAATTGCCACAACATAGCTCAGAGTATGTTCACCTTCCCTGCTGTGGCCTATGAGGACTTCCCCACGACGCATTCCTATCTCCGGCTTGTTGAGATCCGAGTTCATGTAGTTCCCCTCTGGCCAGTCAGCCAGGCGAATTACGGTGCAAACCGTGGGAACACCCACTGCGCCTGGCACGGGCGGAAGACTTAACCCAGGCTCAACCTAAATCGGCAGCGTATTGCTTGTTTCGTTCTCAAAATAATGGTCCCTATGTGGGTACTGTACCCATTATGAGGCGGCACCCTTGAAAGGGACCCTGATTTAGGAAACTACCCAAAACCAAAGACTAATCGTTGCACAACCGCCCAGCCTGTCGAGCTGTCGCCCCAGAATTGAACACAACTTCCAGCACAGGTCTCGGTGAGGCCATACCCTTGTCGTGTAGGGGCATTCAAGACCTCGGCCATGGCAGCATATGGGTCTTTCAACATAATAAAAGGGGTACCCTTTATAGAATATAGTATATATACTGTAATCCTTATTGTTGTAATATAGGAACCCCCAGAAAGAGAAACCCCCCCATAAGCAATGGGATGCTGTGGCTAGATGTGGCTAGCAGGTTGGCTGGTATGTCAGGCGTCTGAACGGCATGGAATCTTGTCGTGTCAGGCCGCTGTCTGGATGAACTTCTGGATGTCTGGAGAGAGCGGAGCCTTCGCTCACCAAGGAAGTGGAGGCACATGCGGCACATCGTTATCTCACACAAACACACACCAACTCAGCAAAAATCACGTGCAGCCAGGTACCGATCCCGTAACAACACCTTTCAAGCGTCCGCCCATCAAGTTTTGCACCTTCAGGAGACGGAAGTGAACACAGCGCCCACCTAGCGACCTAGTGTTGTTGCGGTCAATCCTCTCTTGACATTGAACACTTCTGCTCTAACATGCTCTGACTGAGCTTCGTCTGTCAGCCACTCGCCTTCTTGAAGACCAGCGCGTCCAATAAAAAGTTAGCGCCGACTTGGCCGCGATCAAAATGCCTGTATCCAGACCTGGCAACGCAACGCGCATTCGATGCCAACCCGTGTAGGGCATGAAGACTGTGCCTCAGGTTGTGATCCACCGGCAAAAAACTAACCAAGTAATACGACAGTTCAATAACAACATGATAACACGACAACATACACGAACATATAGATGTACGATGATAGCACATTCAATATGATGAAAAAAAACAAAAAACACAATGACATAGTCATATAATGGTATACTAGTAAAGTAATATACAGTACAATTAAAAACGCATATTGTTTCCTAAGAACATAATCAGAGAATACGTTTAACATGGTTAAGAATAAATACTAATATGAAAAATAAAGTCACAAAATACTTTAAGAAAGGGTTAATATGATACTATAATTGTATGATAAAAGGATAATATGACAAGATGACAATATAATAACATGACAATCTGTTATATGCTACTAGTCGGATATATTCAATTATCAATCAAATAGTACAATACTTACATCTGTGATCATATAATAAAATACAAATAAGAATAGACTATTGAATTGCAATAGTTATATGAAAATGTGAAAACGATGGAACTATATAATAACAGAATAACCAAAAATGCTAATGGAATGATAGAAAACAGAACCATAATAATCGAAGACTAGGAAAACATAACAATAGAATAATGGAACCGGGGGAATATAGGATGATGGGATAACAAAACAATAGAACAATACCAAAATAGATAATCGAGCAATATAGCAATATAATACAAGAATAATGGGATGATAAAAATTTTGTATTGACATCATACACACCTTCCATCGTAAGGGCGGCACGCCAAGCCCCAGTCAAAGAGAGTCTGGCCAACGTAGCCAAGCCCATTACCTTGAACTCCACTTGCAACAGTGGAACAGGCAGCTGCAACGCGCATAGTTTGCATGAGTTCAATGGAAACCCTAAACCCTCCTCGCTCCTAAACCCTAAACCCCTAAACGCCCCTCCCTCCTAAACCCTAAACCCCAAGCCCCTAAATCCCAACGCACAAGATGGAAAGAGTTTACAGCCTGGCCACGCTTCGCGGTCACCGCCTGAAATACCTTGTCCAGCACGGCCGGAGCAAACACCTTGGGGGGGTTTAGGGATGAGGGTTTAGGATTTAGGGAGATAAATCTGCTTTGCAGTTCTGAACGTAACCCCTACATCCCAAGTATGAGCACGCTGTTCGAACACGGCGACAGGCTCCCAAAATACTTGTCCCCAGGAAAGAGGGGGGGGGTACGAAAGCTCAGTGATGACGACGAAGCAACTGGCATAAGGTCCATTTTGCTCTCGCCTTTGCACAAACGAGTATTGTTTCAATGCTTGTTTGTATATCTGGAGCACATAGCATGGGATGTGCCGGGCCACATCGGCGAAAGTCCCCTCCAGTCCCTCCGGTTATGGGGCTTTTCCTATAGATGTACCCTTTTTGGAGGTTTCCTCTAATTAGTCAGGATTCGAAAAAGGCTTCTAGTATTCTTGAGGTCGACTAAGGGCATCCCTATTTTCGGAAACCAATACTTCTCTAATCAAGAATCCATCGTGAGCCCTCGCAAATTTGGCCTCACAAAAGGGGCGCACGACTAAACTGCTAAAGCTGCACCTCGGATTCCAGCCCATCTGCTTCGGCATGGAAACCGATTCGAACACACGCACCGAGCGCTTGTCCCTGCCACTTTTCGCCGTGTTGACCAAGTCTAGAGCCAGTAATCTGCACAAAAATGGGCGGGAGGGGTGGCTTCGACCAGGGGGTTGGGATGCGCACGGGATCACGACGTGCCACATTGCTGCAAGAATTCTTCACGACGCGGCCGGAATCCGCGAACCCGGGGAACCTATAGGCGACAGCACGATTTCGACCCAAAATGTGCCCCGTGCCTTAGATCTGCGAAGCCCGCCGCACGCCGCTGCGCACGCCGGAAGGCATCAGCAACCATTTCAAAACACTTTCTCCTGGTCGCAAGAACCTCCATAAAGTGGGCACACACAGTTTGGAAAAAGAGCGAGAAACTTCTCGCGAATTCTGCCTTCCACAGGCTAGCAACCATGCAGGTCGGCTGCAGAACAACAGCGTCTCCAGAAGACTCTGGCTTCTTCAGCTTCACCCCGTTGTCCTGCAAGTCTGAACCGCAACACAAGATGTCCTATCAGATCAGCGATCTTGCGAATGCTGTAGGGAGATGTCGGTCCGTGAGGGTGTGCGGATTCCCATAGCCGATTGCGAGGCCCATGGACATCATGCAAACCTGCATCCAGGCTGGAAGATGCGTTGAATGCGGAGACTCAAAGCTGTCAAAACCTGCACTTTTGCCTGAACGTGATTCAAAGGTGCAATGCGCCATGAACCTGCAATCTGAAACCTCGATAAACCTCGAAAGTCTGACGCTTCATCGCGGAAGTTGGGACCCTACCGCTGAAGGTTTGATGGTTCTGGGATGTTCCAGGAAATGTCAGGCCGAGGCGGGATGAAACACAACCCAGCCACCAGCCCCCCCGCCCCCCCCCTCCCTCCCCTCAAAAAAAGAGGCCAAACAAAGATAAACAAAGTACCAGGCTGGCGCGCCTTGCTTTCCGGAACGCGCTTCGGGATAAAACCCATGGGCTGGAGGCCCCATCGCTTCGCTTGTTTGGGGTTTGGGGGCTGGGGTTAAGGGTTTCTGGAAACTGGGCGACAGGACGAACAGGTTGAACATGCATCAGCGAGTCAAGGACAAGGACCCCTCCTTTCCCCTCAGCCAGGAAGTGCTCTGGAGTGGATCCTACCCCAACTTGGGCGTCCTCTTCTTCACATACAAGAAGGACTGGTTTACCAGGCATTTACCAGAAAAAGAAGCCGTGCCTCTATACTCCCCTTAGAACCTTAATGAAAATATGTTTGAATATCCTCTTGGGTTTTATATGAACAAAAACAAACAAAATACGATACAGCCTGTGCTGCCATCTCGAAGATGTGTGCCAGCGGGAGGTAGGCCAAGTAGACATCCTCTCCAGGGGGCAGGATGCAAACGACGATACTGAACCTGATCTCGGCGCCTTGGAAAAAGCAACAGGCTGGCAAGCCCAAAGATGAACCCTGAACCTGAAAGCCTAAACTTTAAACCCCAAACCCTAAACCCTAAACCCTAAACCCTAAACCCTAAACCCTAAACCCTAAACCCTAAACCCTGCGCAAGGCTTGTGAAGCAACTTTCCCGGCCCCCCAGTCCCCGGGGCCGAACTTCCCGATAAAGTAATGTTCAACACCTGCAACCACTGCCACCACGTTGGCGTGGGTCAGCAGCACACCTCGCGACTTGCGGAGCTCGGGCAGTTCGACACTTTTTCTGAGAGGGGGGGAAGAGAATAAGGAGTTGGGGTTGAGGGTTTAGGGTTTAGGGTTTAGGATTTAGGGTTTAGGGTTTAGGGTTTACGAGTGTAAGGATGTTGTGCTTGTTGGGGTATGTAACAGATACCCCGGGGCCCCAACCTTTCGGCGCTCCGGTGCTGGGGTTGTGGGGTTTGGGGTTTAGGGTTTAGGGTTTGGGGTTTAGGGTTTAGGGTTTAGGGTTTAGGGTTTAGGGATACCCCGGGCTTATGAAACCCAACCTTTCGGCGCTCCAGTGGTGCCAGACGTGTACATGATGATCGCGATGTCGGACGGCTTGGCTGTCTGCAACTGGCATGACCTGAGCAAGCACCGCGGTTTGGGGTTTAGGGTGGTTCATGTAATAAGGATTTTAGGAGTAATTGGGTACATGGTCCCAATTTTGCGTAGCCGTGAGTACTATACCTGGGGCGTGCAAGGCTAGCGCACGCCGAGGCGTTTCCAGACAAGCCAAGTCTCTTTGATGCCAACGTGCGGGGGGGCAGAGCTGGTGAGCTTGTATAGGTTATTTAGGGTTTAGGGTTTAGGGTTTAGGGTTTCGGGTTTAGGGTTTAGGGTTTAGGGGTACTTGAACGTTTATTTACAGCGTCTGTCATTTCACATCGCCCAGGTACAGTGCAGCCCAAAATCAGTGCAGCGGCCCCTGTGCTCAAAACATAAGGGACCAAGCCAGGACCCTAAACCCTAACCCCTAAATCCTAAACAAACCCTACACCTGAAGACCCGAAGACGTCTGGCTAGGCTCCAGATTTGGAGCTCACAGGGCTCTTGCTGTTTTGGGTTTTCTGTTCTTTTGCGGACTCTTCTCGGAGCCGAAAAAGCATGCTCCCACCAACGGCATCGCCGACTCAATGTAGCTTCACCTTATAGGGTTTAGGGTTTAGGGGGAAGGTTTAGGAACCCAAATGCATGTCTAGCCTCGCCATGCGGGGGGGGAGGGGGGCCGAGGCAGTGACGCGCAGCGCTTTTAAGTGAACTTATCGGGAGACCTTGAAAACAAAAGTACGGACTTCTTCTCTGTCACTCGTTACGCTCTACTGCCCTAAACCCTAAACCCTAAACCCTAAACGCTACACCCGAAACCCAACACCCTACCACAAACATGCACTCGGTTCTAGACTCTTTGCTGCCGCGCTCGACGCACTCCTGAGCTGCAATCTGCGAGCCACAGAATACGGTCAGGGTTTAGGGTTTAGGGTTTAGGGTTTAGGGTTTAGGGTTTAGGGTTTAGGGTCTAGGGGTGGGTCGTGTTTCAGGTGCTTCTGAAGTTGTGCAAGCCGCTTGTCGTTTTACAGGTTATGAATGCTTGTCCGGCACGTGCAAAATTGCAAATGTCGAAGTGTAGATTGTTGTCTGCGGCTTTGTTAAAACGAATTACTAGTCGCACTTTATGTATGACCTGCAGACTACAGATACTGTCGGACCACACCCATACATCATCCCAACGTGCTTGGGCTGGACTAACCCCGCGACACGCTCATGCCTCGTGAAACTAGAGCAAGGTTCCTCGAGAGTCTCCACGTGCACGCCCGCTTCCTGCATCTGCTTTGCAACTGCTTCATCGCAGGCAGTCCTGACATTGAGTGCACGTCGTCTCTCTCACTTTCCTCCCTCTGCAGTGCCTCATCCCCGCCACACAACATGGGCGTTTCCGAAAGTCGGGGTACCTTATTGGGGTCCCTACTGTTGATGGACGAAATCCTGCATCGCTTTTATTATGCAGGTCATCCCTTCCAAACCCTGAATCTTAACATTGCTACCCTTGCAATGCTTCGAAATTGCATGTGTGTGAATGACCGAAATCCTGCATCACCCATATGCGCACGCAACATTGAAATTCGAGGGGCGCGGGGAGCTCGATTACCAACCGTCGCACACGTGTAACGTAGGGGGTCATGCAAGATTTCGTCCATCAACAGTATTATTTGGGGGTCTTCATTTGGGGTCCGGGTCCCCAATTATCGTAAACCCCCACATCGCATGCGGACCAAGTTGCATTGTGAGAACGCGCTTGATGGATTTGCACCTTTGGAAGCAACACGGACAAGTTGTCACAGCACAGGATCGTAAGTTGACAACACTGTGTCCAAGTTTAGCCTCTGTGCTCCCTAAGCCCTAAACCCTAAACCCTAAACCCTAACCCTGAAGGTACGCCCATGGCCAGAGGTCCGAGACACTTCGGAAGAATCTTCTGAAGAACTTTCAGGAGCTTGGCATCAACCACCACAGTGCTAGATTCGGTCTCGTTGATACCATATGAAGCCCCCTCCTCGCCTTCCAAGGTATTTAGGGTTCAGGGTTTCGGGTTTAGGGTTTACATAGGGTTTAGGGTTTAAGGTTTAAGGTTTAGGGTTTAGGGTATTGAGGGCTTAGGGGTTTTTAGGAAAGCTGCAAGCTGGAATCTATCGCTTCGGGCTTTGAAGGATCCCAGGGTGTGTAGCTTCCATGGGATTAGGGCTTCGGGTTTAGAGCTTAGGGTTTATGGTTTACAGTTGCCCTGCCTAGCGTGGCATAGATTGTGACGACCTGCAGGTGCCACAGAACACAATGAGGCCCGCAGGGCAACTTGACATATTTTGCTGCCAGGGCAGTGACCCTAAACCCTAGACCCCAAAATCCGGGCCTTGCAGTTCAGCTGCCACGCAGCGTACGCACTGACCATCCAATCACGTTGAGTTTCGGCGTAGATCACCACACGGGATTCCGGCTCGACACCTGTGGGTTTCGGGTGTAGGGCTCGGGGTTTAGGATGTGTGTCAAGATGGCTACACTGCATCAATCCAATCCCCTTGCCTAGTGCCACCATTCCCTTGGCAAGATTCTCAGTGCGGGCGCAGAGTTCGTTGTACGTCATCCAGTTGTACCTCGCCACATCGCGGCGTTTTTCGACATGCTGCACAAAGCATTCTTCCGAGGGTCTTATTCTCCAGCTCGATCTTCTCCCTTTTTACGCCACTGCCATCCTGCATGTCAGTCACAGTGACATAGCACGATATGCCAGAAACTGCATGAAAAAGTAGCCGCCGGGGACGACTATGCACAGCAGCAACATGCAGCAACCAAAGCATGACACGACCCGCACCGCAACCATGAGCCCGCGACATCGACTTGGTGGACGTTGATGACGTTGCGCCAGCCAACACCTTTCTCGTCACCAAGCTTTTCCTGAACAGGAGTCACTGACCCAGCAAGACCGGCTGAACTACCCTACCAACGGATGCTCATCTATGCCGCGTTTGGCGACGTTCCGCGTTTGCCGACGTTCACGTGTCAGTTTGGCCTTGGTCTTCTGAAGAACTTGCAGAATCGTCTCTGCACCGCAGGCAGGCTTTTCCCTGCAAGTCATGAGGGCTTCATGAGGTTCCACATGAAAAACGCTGTGTCAGCGACGTGCCTAACGCAGAGCATGGAGGGCGCAAGCGGCTGAGTCTCAAGTTCCCAAAACTGCGATCCAAAACTGGGACTCGAGCTTGAACTTCCTCTTCGCTTCCACATTGTACAGGCATGGGCCGAAGCCGTCTTTCTCTGAGTCCAGATCAAGATCGCCCCACCTTCACAGGTTCTTCTGAGCCGGGTAAACCCTAAACCCTAAACCCTAAACCCTACTCCCTTGGCTTAAGCCGGGGCGTAGGGCGTAGGGGAGAACCTTGCAAGCCCAGGGATGCTGGGAACTACAGGGGCTGCTTAAGCAAAAAGGGGTATACATGATGTACATATACATGTACATATATATATATGTGTGTATATGTATATGTATACATATATGTAAAAATGTAGAAATGTATATATATATAGATGTATATAATATATATATGTGGCGAAGATGTATGGTCAAGGAAAATCGTCCTAGTATCCCTTGATTGGTCGAGACTGCTCCGCAGCAGCAGTACAGGATGCAGGATACATCGGGTTGCAGTCCAACTGTACATTGGAATGAAGTGTTTTTTGCGGCCGTCATGCAAAGGGAGGCATGAGCTCATTCAAGGCAAGCCACTTTTCATACTGGCGCATGGGGTCCAGTGTTGCAGGATCCATGCCTGCCTGAACTTGCTGCGATTGGCAGGATTGCCTGACTGATCTTGAATGGCTTGGACCAATGGGCTGCAGCACAGCAAGACACCTTCCGTGCTACTGCACCGCGGTGTCTTGCAAACCTGCGAAGCTTCTGGCAAGATTGCAATTGCGCGACACACCTTTCGCGAGAAAACCTCAGACGTGCCTGGTAGTTGTCCGAGCCAATCTGCACACAAGCGCACTCAAGTGTGAAAGTTCAAGTGTGAAAGTAGCGATGTGAGATGCGTATGGATACGCTTCTGCAGTTTAGTCGGAGGTACACGAGATCCGCTCCAGCTTGAAAAGTTTCGGAGACCTTCACCACTTACTTCAGGTCTTGGGGCCCAGCATTTTGGCTAAATGGGGACACACGGGAAGTTCTCAAGAGAGAATGCCACATTCTAGAACAACAAGGCTATGAAATATGCTGCCGAATTACACTCCGGCTACTCACCCAGAAAGGCCAGCTGACAGGGCATCAGATTTCTGGAGCAGACGTCAGACACTCTCTGCTAACATCACGCATGGAAAACAACATAAACACCATCAGGGCAACCCGTTCACTATGGCAACACAACTCCGGGCCATGATTTCCCAAGTGCTGCAGAACGCACACACCCGCGAATCAAGGTATAGCAGCCCTGTATAAAGATATACTAATACAACAACATAACAGAACAATATAGCAATATACCAATAATGTGACAATATAGAATAACATCTACATGTGCCTTGGCTGTCAAGGCTGTCTCATCGGGAGGCGTCCTCGATCTGGATCGCGAACCTCGCGGCAGAGCCGAACGAAGGAGCGACTTCTGCAGCGTCTGGGGGCGTCGCACATGTCATTGTGTCAATACGATTCTGCAGTGAGCAGCCAACAAGGGGCCACTAAGCACAATGAGGCCAAAAAGGAGAGGTGGCAACACTGAAGGCAGAAGAAGCAGGGAGGGAATGAAGAGGAAAGCAACGAGCACTGCCCACGAGCATGGGGCCTTATCAGCATGCGCCGAATCGAACGAGAAAACGATCCTTCTAAGATCCACAACGCCCTTTGCCTCTGAGTGTGCAAGGAAGTTGACAAAGATGACAAGAAACGAGATCGCATCACTCCAAGCTCCAATGATCGGGAGGCGGGGAGAGAAAGCCAGAGAGCGAGCCAGCGAGCCCATCTGCTTACCTCCACCTTGTTGGACCTACTGGCTACTGTACTGCAAGAATGTCGCTGCTCAAGTGTAGTTCTTGGTTCTTGCTCAGGGTACTGGCCATTGCAGTCGACGTAAGGTCACGGCAGTCAACAACCCATGAACCGCTCGCAATGAACTTCCGTGAATGGAGATCAGCCACTACGGCAACAGCTACAAGGGGAATGAGTACGAAGTCACCACTCTACAAACAACCGGAAGCACCATCGGCCGTGCCTGCACTGGTAGATGGCGGTGGTGTTTGCGAACGGGCAGAGCGGGGGTTTGCCGTGACTGCCTCGGCAGGGGTTTAGGGTTTAGGGGTTTAGGGGTTTAGGGGTTAGGGGTTTAGGGTTTAGGGTTTAGGGTTTAGGGCGTCTCTTCGATGTCACCCCTGCAAAAGCTGGTAAGCAGCGTGCTTCTTCGGCGGTAATCTTCCAGAAGCCGATGCCTGAGCTCGCGTGCAAACCTCTCACACATTTCCAGATACTGACAACCGGTGGTCACTTCTCTAAAAAGGTCCCTTTTGGGGGTCCTCATTATACCTTCTCTAAATGTGGGTCCTTTTGGGGGTCCTTATTATGCCCTAGGCCCTAAACCCTTTCGGGGTGGCACAGATTCTGTCTCCTCTTCATTTTCTTCTTCTTCTTCCCCTACACAGCCTTGCTCTCTCTCTCTCCTTGTTTTTCTCTTTCTGTTTCTCTTTCTCTTTCTCGTTCTCTTTTCCCTCTCTCTCTCTCTCTCTCTCTTGCTTGCTTGCTTGCTTGCTAGGCGTATGACCCCCGTGAGGGGGCTCTCTCTCTCTCTCTCTCTCTCTCTCTCCTTCCACATCCCAGTTAGGTTTGTACTCCCAAATTGGTTAGTGATGTATGGTAGACAATCGGGAACATCCTGCTGTCATTGGTTTTGGGCAGCCACCATGGGCTTAGGGCCTTTACAAGGCTCGCAGGCAGTGTTTCCGATTCTTGGTCCAATTTTGCCTTGCATTTGCTCACAAAAAAACATCGGCCGCCTGCCACCGGGAGGGTTTTGGGGTTTAGGGTTTACAGGATTCAGGGTTGAGGGCTTGGTCCCTGCGGGCTGGCAAGCTTGCAGGAAGCTCGAGATTCCACCTTGTGCATCGGTATTCCACCTTGTGCATCTGTGAGGGACTGCGAGTATAAGGGGACACACCCCCCAAAAACACAGTCTTCAGAGGATTCCTGGGAATTTTCACAACCACATGAATGTGTCAAATTTCCAAAAAGGCGGGGACCATTCAAAAAAAAAAAGCGTGTGGCTACTTCTTGAAGTCTGTGCCATCCCAGGCATGGGCTTGATTCCGCCCGTCTTCTCGGGCTGATCTGCCGCTCATCTCCAGTGACCTGGATGCCGAAAACACGAACATATTAGAACACTCTTCTATCGTTCTATTGCGACATCATGCTGTTATGTCATTATATCCGTATATTCTGTCAGTATATCTTATATAAACACATTTCTATAACTCTTACATATTTTGTACATTTTAGTTTAAACATGTTGTTAACATTCTATATAACTCTTATATCTTCTGGATATTCTTATATAGGGGTTTCCGAAAACAGGGGATATAAGGGGTCCCTCTACTTTCGGAACCCCCTAGGTTCCCCCCATAATTAAGGCTATTGAGGCATCATTAAGCCTAAGGAAGGGGGTTACTTAAGGGGGGAACCTAGGGGGGGGTAGTATACAGGGGGGTAGTAGGGGAACCCATGGCCATATGGATATCGGCAGCTGGCCTTCCATGCCAAGCCTTCTTCTCTTGAGGTGCTCCGAGTCGAAATGGCCTGGAAGAGAATGGCAGGGAGGTTGGTCATTTGCTGACCTGGTAACCCTAACCCTAAACCCTAAACCCTAAACCCTAAACCCTCCTCTTGCCAGCATTTCCCGAGCCGCCCGGCCGAGTTCGACTCGCTTCGCGAGTACGGTTTGAGCGCAATCTCGGCCCGGACGTGCCTCACTCATGGACCATACAAGATGATACAAACTGCAAGATAGTATGATATAATATGATGTAATGACCATATAAGATTGAGATAATATATTCTCATAAATTTTAAATATAGTAAATATAGCAACAATATGGCAGACAGGTCGATACGGGCGGCTCAGGCGCCAGCGAGCTGCCCACGTGATGAGTTGAAGGGAGGAACTTGAAAGACTTCCTCAGCGGTGGGCAGGGGCTAATTTATAATCTAGTATCTCAATCTTATATAGTCATTGCATCATATTATATCATACTATCTTGCAGTTTGTATCATCTTGTGCATGTGCATACACATTGCATCGGAGTGCATCACGAAGCAGAGTCGGGTCGGGGAGTACCAAGACATGTCAAAGTCTTCCGTGAACAGGCTTTTGAAGGTCGCTTTGGGGAGTCGGGGTTGCGACTGCCCCAGGGAAAGCGATGCGGAAGCGTCGCTTGGGGCTTTCTTGGGCCTAATTGCGAGATCGTATAATCCAATGTGTGATGAAAGACGCTCTAGGAAGACTGTTTTGACATTGAGCCGTTCTGGCCGTAAGATCCACCCCTCGAAACCAAGCAAGCCAAGCCAAGCCGAACCACTCGTACCTTGGCATTCTCGGGGGCTTGCGTGCACAGGGCGGGAATCCCCATTTCAGGTTCCCCAGGAGGTGTCCCTAAACCCTAAACCCGAAAGCCTAAACCCTAAACCCAGGAGGTTTAATCATTTCGGATGATGGGGCTCCCAGCAATCTTCTCTGTGCGGGGTGGGGCTCTCTGTAGGCTTCGGGACCATGCACGGATACTGGCGGGATGGGGGGAGGAGCTGGGATGTCCTGCGTGTTTAGGGTTTAGGGTTTAGGGTTTAGGGTTTTGGGTTTTGGGTTTTGGGGTGAACGGTGGCTGCTTGTGACTGATCTTGGTGTGCGCGTTGTGGAATTGTCTCGACGTTGTCGTCGTCGTAGTGACACTTTTGCACTGCACACTAATTACTGCCCCAAACAAATCAGAGTCATCAGAGACTGGGCGACCGAACTGAATCTGTCATGTCATTCGCATCCAATACACCATGCACGGCCCGCCTCTGCCCCTCCCACCACTTTCCAATCGTTCTGAAGAACATGAGGCCATGAAAAAATCTAACCCAAACGACCCACGCAATTTAACAGTCACTTTGCCAGGCAGAACCCTGAACCCTTAACCCTGAACCCTAAAGAGGATAATTTTCGGACACTATAGCCGAACGACGCGATGGCAGCGGTGGCGCTGAGCAGGAAGCAGGTTCGGGCAGTTCGGGGCACTTTCAAGCACTTCCAAGCCCAAGACCCATGAAGCGTTTCCACAGCTTCGGTGCCACCCTGAGTCGCGAATAATCGTGATGGGGTTTAGGGTTTAGGGTTTAGGGTTTAGGGTTGAGGAGTACGTGACACATCGGCACATTGTGCGAGACGCCTTGTATGTCTGGACGTAGAAGCGCTTCTCAGGCTGTTGAACCTCCAACGGTGAAACGACCCTAGCAAGCAATACTGATCACGGCGACTTACCACATGTGGTGATTTCTCTAAACCATGGTACCTATTGGGGTCCTTACTATGAGGCGGCCCCCCCTTATTCAGGGTAGCCGAACAAGGGACCATAAACTTAGAGAACTGACCACCTCACCACAGGCCAGGTCCTTCATCAGGTGACTGAGAGAGTCCACGGACACCCCACGGTGCATAACCGTGAATCTCTGTCCCTCAGCTCGGCCACCGCCTGCACCACGGGAGTAAACTCCAGCAAGAGAACCCTAAACCAGCCCACTGCCAACATGTCAG